GACCTGATTCATCTCCATGGGCCTTGTTAAAAAGTTAGCCTGAGAGCCAATTCAAATATTACAGACCCTCAAAAGAGGGCCACTCATGGTTGCTTCTGTGTGGTGGAGCCATCATAGGTCCAATCTGCATTGGTATTTCCCACCATTGTGCAAATGATCTCATATCATCTCACAAATTTCTGTCTGCATTTCATGCCGCATCCACTCTCCTATTGTTTAATCTCAGCATCAGCTGTCTGCATCATTTTGTTGCCACTTAGTAGTGATGCCAAGATCACTACGGCATCTCACCACCTTATCTGAAAGTGAAACTGCCACAGGAGGTGGTGGCAGCTACAAGCATGGACGGCTTCAAGAGGGAATTAGATAAGCATATGGAGCAGAGGTCCATTGGTGGCTATTGGCAACAAGGTATAGATAGGGACTCCGGGGCAAGTGATGCTCTTTATTTTTTGGGGGGTGGGTCAATAGTGTGAGGGCTTCTAGTGCCCTGGCTCCACTGCTGGACCTCCTGATATCACCTGGTATTTTTGGCCACTGTGTAACAGAGTGTTGGACTGGATGGGCCATTGGCCTGATCCAACACTGGCTTCTCTTATCTTATGTTCTTATGGTTTTAAGGTGGTACAACTGCTCCTCCCCACCGTTGAGCCGCTGTGAGCAAAAAGCAGACAACTGGAGCTGAATTCTCTCCCCCCCCCAATCTTTTCTGAGGAGATATGCAAATTGTCACAAAGAAAACAAGTTAGCTGAAAATCCAGTCGTCTGCATTTAAAAGCAGCCAGGGAACATTTTTCTGCGATCATATTGGGGGTGGGGGTTTGGAAGCACGCTCACCCACTGAACAATTTGTTATTTCCTGGGGCAGTCTCCAGAACGCCCTGCCTGGCAACTGCTGGGTTGTTTTGTGTTTTTTACCCAGCTCGTTCCATCTTTCCTGCCCCTCCTGCCTCCCTGGAGTGCAGCGCAGTGCCCTGCTGGTGCCCCCGGGAGGTCGCTCCTCCCCCCTCTCTCCTGCACTCTCCCTAAACAACTTGCATCCCGATGCAGACAGAGGAGAGCTTTATACTGAGCCAAATGGGAAGCCGGTGCCACAGCAGTATGGAACAGCTTTACATTGCAAATGCAGATTGGGCCATCATGTTCGTGAGCCTCTCATCAGGTGTATTAAGAACATAAGAACATAAGAGATGCCAATGTTGGATCAGGCCAAAGGCCCATCCAGTCCAATATTCTGTATCCCTCAGTGGCCAGAAATACCAGGTGCCATCAGGAGGTCCACCAGTGGGGCCAGGACATTAGAAGCCCTCCCACTGTTGACCCCCCCCCAAGCACCAAGATGACAGAGCATCACTTGCCCCAGAGTCCCTATCTATACCTTGTGGCTAATAGCCACTGATGGACCTCTGCTCCATATGCTTATCTAATTCCCTTTTGAAGCCGTCCATGCTTGTAGCCACCACCACTTCCTGTGGCAGTGAATTCCAAGTGTTAATCACTCTTTGGGTGAAGAAGTACTTCCTCTTATCCGTTCTAACCCGACCGCTCAGCAATTTCATGGAGTGCCCACGAGTTCTTGTATTGTGAGAAAGGGAGAAAAGTACCTCTTTCTCTACCTGCTCTTTCCCATGCATAATCTTATAAACCTCAATCATGTCACCCCTCAGTCGTCGTTTCTCCAAGCTAAAGAGCCCTAAGCGCCTGGTGGTCTCCCATCCAAGTACTAACCAGGGCCGACCCTGCTTAGCTTCCGAGATCTTTTGAGATTGGGCTAGCCTGGGCCATCCAGGTCAAGGTGGCCCCAAGTTATACAGTGCTTTTTCTCTTCATAAACCAGGGCCACTAGGCTAGTGACACCCCCTGGCAACACCAGCTCTTTATGACATCACAAGTCCAGTGATCACAAGCAAGGAGATCAGAAAGGGAGAAGGACAGCCAGGCTGAGGAGGGTAGGATGAAGACAAGTCCTTATTCTGTTTTAACTTTTGGTGACCTTTCAAGGGGTTTTCAAAGCAAGAGACGGTCAGAGGTGGTTGGCCATTGCCTGCCTCTGCATAGCAACCCTGGACTTCCTTGGTGGTCTCCCATTCAAGTATTAACCAGGGCCGACCCTGCTTAGCTTCTGAGATCTGATGAGATTGGACTAGCCTGAGACATCCAGGTCAGGGCATTAGATATATTAGCCCACTCCAATGAGTCCCTGTTCAACCTCATGCTTACTTGTGGTTAGCCACAAGGTATAGGTAGGAACTCTCGGTCTGGGGCAAGGGATGCTCTGTAGTCTTGGTGCTTGGGGGGGCAACAGTGGGGGGACTTCTAGTGCCCTCTGGCCCCACTGCTGGACCTCCTGATGGCACCTGGTATTTTTGGCCAGAGCGTTGGACTGGATGGGCCGTTGGCCTGATCCAAGATTGGCTTTTCTTATGTTCTCATGTGGTTCTCTGCAGGCGGTTTCTACCCCATACAGTTTTAATCTGGCAGCTTCCACAGGGGCTGTAATGTTTGGATTGGCCCTGAGCCTTTATGCACACACAAAACTTCACGCTCCTAGATCTTGTACCGTTCCATGATGGCAGCAGGAGAAACACGAACAGGCATAGGATGTTACCAAAGGGGCAAAGAGTATTAGCAGCGTTAACATCGTCTTTTGGGTTTGGGGGTCACTGCAGATGTTAGAGCTCTGTCACCCCTCAGAACAGACTCTCGGACAAGAACAAGAAAACCCCCTTTCCACACATTGCCTTGGAATGTCAGAGGAAGGTCCCCGAAAAATGCAGGGATGAAGCAAAGAAAGCCTGACAGAGATGCCTACGACCGAAGAAGAGAAGCTAAAACGGTGTTTACTGAGCCAAACCAAACAGAGAAAGAGAAAGAAACATAAAGAATTCACTGTCCCATAATCGCCCTCCCCAACCCCCCCTTCCCGTATTGAACTTCCACGGTTTTCTGTCACCCTCTGCTAGTCAGAATGTCGTCGTATAATGCACCAGTGACTGCAGCTCCTGGTTCACCACTCGGTTCTCTTCTCTCATCTTGGTCTTCTGTGGAGACAAGAAAAGAAATGCATCCAGTCAAGATCTACCAGGCTTCTTTGTTTCTTTTTCTTTTTCTAGAGCCAGTTTGGTGTAGTGGTCAAGAGCGCGGTTTCTAATCTGGGAGAACTGGGTTTGATTCCCCACTCCTTACATGTCCAGGGAAATGCTAATTGCCATTTTGGGGTCAGGAAGACATTTTCCCCCAGGCCAGTTTGGCCAGAGATCCCGGAGGGGTGTCCCCCCCTTCTGGGCATAAAGCAGGGGTCACTAGGGTGGGGGGGAGAGGTATTTGTGAATTTCCTGCATTGCACAGAGGGTCAGACTAGATGACCCTTCCAACACTATGATTCTGCGATTCCTCCACATGCAGCTGCTGGTGTAAACTTGGGTCAGTTACAAGTTGTTTCAGAGCTGTTCTCACAGGAGCAGTTCTCAGAAGAGCTCTCTCAGCCCCACCTACCTCACAGGGGGTCTGTTGTGGGGAGGGGAGGGGAGAGGAGTTTGCAAGCTCCTCTGAGACTCCTTCGGGTAGTGAAAAGAGGGGTATAAATCCAATCTCCTCCTCCTCCTCCTCCTCCTCCTCCTCCTCCTCCTC